GGGGGTGGGAGTTCAGCCATAACCATGCTTCTCACTATAAGAGGGGGTGAGAGTTCAGCAATAACTCCACCCCTCACTATAAGAGGGGGTGGGAGATCAGCCATAACCTCACCCCTCACAATAAGAGGGGTGGGAGATCAGCCATAACCTCACCCCTCACTATAAGAGGGGGTGGGAGATCAGCCATAACCCTGCCCCTCACTATAAGAGGGGGTGGGAGTCCAGCTATAACCCCGGCCCTCACTATAAGAGGGGGTGGGAGATCAGCCATAACCTCACCCCTCACTATAAGAGGGGGTGGGAGTCCAGCTATAATCCCAGCCCTCACTATAAGAGGGGGTGGGAGTTGAGCCATAACCCCGCCCCTCACTATAAGAGGGATGGGAGATCAGCCATAACCCTGCCCCTCACTATAATAGGGGGTGAGAGTTCAGCCATAACCCTGCCACTCACTATAAGAGGGGGTGGGAGTTCAGCCATAACCCTGCCCCTTACTATAAGAGGGGGTGGGAGTACAGCCAAAACCCCGCCCCTCACTATAAGAGGGGGTGGGTGATTAGCCATAACCCCAACCCTATAAGATGAGGTGGGTGATCATCCATAACCTCACTATAAGAGGGGGTGGGAGTCCAGCCATAACCCTGCCCCTCACTATAAGAGTGGGTGGGAGTTTAGCCATAACCCTGCCCCTATATGAGGAGGAGTACATTCCCGCCTCTCACTATAAGAAAGGTGGGAGGTCAGCCATAACCTCACCTCTCACTATAAGAGGGGTGGGAGATCAGCCATAACCCCGCCCCTATAAGAGGAGGAGGACAATCCCGCCTCTCACTATAAGAGGGGGTGGGAGTTCAGCCATAACCCCTCAGAGGTGGAGGATAATCCCGCCCCTCACTATAAGAGGAGGTGAGCTGGACTCCAGTGAGGAAGAGGTGGTGGACGATGACACCGCACCTGGGTACGAGAATAGAAGAACAGTTCTGTAGAAGATTGGGTGGACGGGGACTTCACCGATCCAATTCGGTGAAGTACCAAATGACACAACAGGTCTCCTGCTCCTAATAAAGATTCATGTGACATAGAACATTGTGATTGGACGTGGTGGGCGGCCAATAGAAGAGCTGCTATAATTACTCTTCAGTTTATACTACAAATACCCCATAAAGACGAATCGTTCATTTCATGTCCAATCTGTGTGAAGGAGGCCACAAGTGAGATCCCATCAGAAGATTGGGAGGTGTCTTGGCATTGATCCCATGCCGGGGTCACCTGGATCTACTCAGGCCAGCACCCCCGGATCCTATGGAGTCCAGTCCGAGCCCCTTTATTCCACCTCACACCCTACCGTAGAAGGTGAAGCCCAACATCTGGAGGTCTTCTCACCTTCACCTTTTATTTCAATGATAACCTCAAAAATCCATCTCCTCAGAGGGTCATGAGAACCAGGAAGAGGTCACCGAGGAGAAGCTTACTGACCGAAGAGAGGGATCAAAGTCACCAAATAGGTAAGTCGTGGTCACCGTGCTGGCTCCAGGATTGGCCAACTCCACGCCTTCCACGTCTGAAGTGTGGACAACGCGAACGGTCAGTTGTCCTCGAAAACTGTCATGTCTGATGGCCAGACTTCACCGGGACCTTTCATGACCAGATATAGAGATTTAGTCAACACACGTGTGAGAAAGATAAGAAGCCGCCAGCCGACCAGGGAGGATGATGGTAGGGGTGGAACCTGGTGGGTATACTGATCATTCCCATCAGGCTCCTCCCACAAGTAGCATCAGTGGTTGTTGAGGATGCTGTTGGTTACGGCTGAGCTTCCTTCACACCCAGTGATGCTGACAGTGGGGGGAGGAGCCTAGTGGGGATACCGAGGCACTCGTTCCCCATTGTTAGTTACGACTGAGCTTCCTTCACACCCAGTGATGCTGACAGTGGGGGAGGAGCCTAGTGGGGATACTGAGGCACTAGTTCCCCATTGTTGGTTACGACTGAGCTTCCTTCACACCCAGTGATGCTGACAGTAGGGGAGGAGCCTAGTGGGGATGCTGAGGCACTAGTTTCCCATTGTTGGTTACGGCTGCACTTCCTTCCCAGCCAGTGATGCTGACAGTGGGGGAGGAGCCTAGTGGGGATACTGAGGCACTAGTTCCCCATTATTAGTTACGACTGAGCTTCCTTCACACCCAGTGATGCTGACAGTGGGGGAGGAGCCTAGTGGGGATACTAGGCCATCAAGGAGAGAAACACTGCTGTGTCTTTTTTTTCTTTATTCTGACACGAGCGATGTCAGAATAGAAAAAAAAAATTCCCATTGAAAAGCATTGGGACATTACTATTGCCTATTTCAATTTGCAATAGCCAATAGTAAAATAGCATTGTACCCAACTTCTGCTGCAGTTCCACATCAGGTCCATCAGCAGAGGGCGGGTACAATGCTAGTTTACTATTGGCTATTGCAAATTGAAATAGGCAATAGTAATGTCCCAATGCTTTTCAATGGGAAAATTCTCTTTTTTTTTTCCTATTCTGACATCGCTCGTGTCAGAATAAAGAAAAAAAAGACACAGCGTGGTTTCTCTCCTGGGCGGCCCAGAGCGCCCGGGAGAGTTTTTTTTTTTTTCTTTTTTTTTTCTTTACAGTAGCAGAGCCGCCGGACAATAGGAAACTATAACAAGCACAATCATTTTCTATTTACTTTTTTTTTACTTTTTTCACTCTTTTACTGTTCTGCTC